TCTGTTCTCCAAGCACTATCAAGCAAAAAACAAGACAAACTAATTGCAGATCTAAGGACCAACATTGGCTTACTCTCCAAGGAAGCAGAACTGGTCTTGCAGTGGATACCAGCACACTGTGGTATTCAAGGAAATGAGAGAGCAGATGAGTTGGCAAAAGCTGGGAGTAATCTTCCACAACCTCATCCACCACACAACTACAAGGAAACCAAAACAGCGCTAAAGCAGTCTTTTAAGTGGGAGTGGAGAAAGCAGAATGGAGATTAAGACCAGAGAGTGACAGCATAAACAAACTCAACAGGAAAGAACAAACATCAATTTTTAGACTTCGGACAGGACACTGTGGTCTTCGAGCACACCTGTACAGGATAGGCATAAAAGAATCTGCTGCCTGTGATTGTGGGGCAGAAAGACAGACCCCTGAGCACATACTGCAGTACTGCCCTAACCTCTCCCAGCAAAGACTGTGGATCTGGCAAAAGGGAGCCACATTGCAAGCTATGGGCAACCGGTGGCGACCTTAAACGCACAATCCAATTTGTGACCCAGACGGGACTCAATGTTTAGCATGACTGTTGTCGAACGCAGAAGAAGAAGAAGAAGAAGAAGAAGAAGAAGAAATACCGAGCCTAAGGGTTAACAACTCATGGCTTCTAGATACTAAAAAAATTATAATGTTATTTCGGTTTTAACACGTCATTTAAAGTTGACCTTCAGATGGCAGAGAGCGAGTTTGAAAACAAACGCCTGAGGAAAATGATGAACTAATTACTGATTTGAGAATCGACATCATAGCACACAGGGCATACTCATTAATGCTCCGTCTCCCGCAGCAAATGTCTTCAGGTGTAGCTGCTAACTTTCCCGTAGCACACTGAATATCCACACGTTGTTCTCTGCCTCTCATATTTGCCAGACCCACACATAATTTCTCGCTCACGCGTTCTTTCACATGTTACTTCATCTAACATTGTGTTTTCTATCAGCTGGAGTACTGAATGGTGTAGCCAATGTCGAGGGTGCTTTCTCCAATAACGTTTGTAATAAGACACATACTAAGATTGGCTCCCTTTTCCCCCCTCCAGAAAGATTGAACAAACCAGACAGAAGTTGATTATTTGATTTGATATTGTGGTTACATATGATTTCAAGTTTAAGGAAGTATAGTATGAATACGTAACCCTCATTCTGTATGTTAACCATTTCCGAGATTGGGCAGTTTGCTAAAGTCCTTTGGGTGGTCAACAAATAGAGGTACACCTACATGATGTTTGTGGTCTCACTACACTTTGAATGTAGAACAAATCTGCGAAACGAAATACATGACTTCATTTTAAAAATCTGTCCCATATATGATTGTGAAGCAATATGCAATAAATTGCTCTCGCCTGCTGACGTAATTCTTTGTACTCAAAACAAAATGGTGCTATCAACAAAATACATTTTTAAAAAGTATTTCGAAATGGCGGTCGATATAAACTAAACACGGCTGGTCCCTCAATAGTGTGTAGCCAGATTTCCCGATAAACAACACCATCATCGCATTACGGTTAGAAGTTTGCTGAATAAAAAATATTTACTTGGTACTTGCCAGCTGCTCGAAAAACCGCGTTAGACCAAAGCAGTAACTCATTTAATTACCTTTTTTAGCACTTTTTTAATTCCATCATGTACTTTGGATTTTTTTTTTTTCAGATTTGTTCTACAAACAAAGTGTAGTGATACTTTAAAAAAAAAAAAAAAAAACCTGTATATATGAAAGTTTAGCAAATGCATTAAAAATAATTTTTAAAAAAGAGAGAGAGAATTGCCATTCATTGGGGGAACTACAGCCACCTTACAATATTTCTTGGAGCCCTCAAAAGGGCCTCAGTTTCTGGTGCCCATGCCACACACCAATTGCTCTCTTCAATAAAGACTTTTCCTGCAGTATAACAAATTACAATACATCTTTCTCAGTAAAGACAGGTATAAGACAGGGATGTGTTATGTCATCTCTCCTCTTCAACCTTGTGATTGATTGGATACTAAAGAACACAGTAGACAGGACATTAAGAGGCATACGATGGACTCCATTCACCATGCTTGAGGACCTTGACTTTGCAGATGATATAGCACTCCTATCATATAAACATGAACATATACAAGAGAAAAGTAACAGACTACACTGCATAGCAGAAATGGTGGGACTGAGAATAAATACAAAGAAAACTAAGATCATGACAAACTGTCCAAACCAACAACCAGTGACCATAAGTAACCAATAACTTGAAAATGTAGAACATTTCACATATCTTGGCAGTATGGTGTCCCTACTGGGAGGGACAGAGGAAGACATACAGTCACGCCTGAACAAAGCTAGAGCTGCTTTTGGAAGGATGAGGCAAATCTGGAAATCCAACAATTACTGCAGAGGAACAAAACTCCGGCTCTACAAGAGCATCATTTTGCCAGTTCTTCTTTATGGAGCGGAATGCTGGAGAATGACCAAAAACGATGCACACAAGCTGTCTACCTTCCACCACACATGTCTACGTAGAATTATCAAAATTTTCTGGCCAGATACAATCTCAAACACTAAACTACTTCAAGCCACAAACCAAGAAACTTTAGACAGTATGATTACCAAGAGAAGATTGAAATGACTTGGCCACGTTATGAGAATGACATCTGATATACCTGCCAAAACCGCTCTCACATGGACACCAGAGGGAAGGAGAAAACAGTGGCGCCCAAAAACAATATGGAGACGAACGATGGAAAGTGACCTGAGTGCGGCATCTTTGACATGGAAAACTGCACTGAAGATTGCACAGGACAGGAAAGCATGGAAAGTCCTCTCTGAAGCCTCATGTGCCACTAGGCATAACGAGAACTGATGATGACACACACCCGTTTTTGGAAGAGTGTCTCTTGTATTTAGTAAGTTATGACTCTGCTGTACACACGTACCAATTGTCATATCATTTTGTAGGCGCAATCAGAGGTAGGAAAAGTAAAGCTTCGCGACAAGATTGAAAAAAAAAAAAAAAAGTCCAATCTGAACCTTTGATGATAACAATCGCTTTCGCTCCACTTGAACCTGTGTAGAATGTGCAGTCACACCCGGGTCAGCGAAACGTTTGGATAGCCTGTTCTTGTGTTTTATCTCTGTTGACGACACTGTTGAAGATACGAAGGACAATCTGGCACATGTGTATTGCTGTTGACTTGCTTGTGTGTATGTGTATATGTAATTATGTGTGTTATCGTCAGCACCATGGATCCTTTCATGTGGTTTAAGCTTCATATCGTGTCATAGATCTCGGTTATTGATATTCTGGTTAAATTCTAATGATTGGTGTCCTCCATCAAGCATCATTTCTCTCGGGCTGTCCTGTCTTCTTCTTCTTCTTCTTCTTCTTCTTCTTCTTCTTCTTCTTCTTCTTCTTCTTCTTCTTCTTCTTCTTCTTCTTCTTCTTCTTCTTCTTCTTCTTCATCATCATCATCATCATCATCATCTTCTTCTTCTCCCCCTTTATACCTATTTTGCCTTTCAGCGCCAGGTTTTGAAGAAGTATCAGGTGCGAGCTTTGGTATGTGCCATCTTCTACGGATAATCTTTCCTGTTGTCGTTATGTTCACTAATGCCTCTTGTATAATTTTATGATCAAAGAACAATGTCTGTCTTTTTTTTCAAAGTTATTGTTACGCCCTATTTTTTTTCCAGACATTCGCTGTCAAGTCACTCAGATTATTTTTATGAAGTCATCTCCTAATGGGATGCAATTTTTCGTTATTTTAAAGCTCCACCCTGGCTCTTGCTAGGGGCCGCAATGAGGCCTGGCCATCAATATGGCCTAGTGGCTGAACGAGATTTCTGGGACCTCTCCACGGGTGATTCTCATCCACATGGTAGCAGATTGTGTCATCGGGTGTTTATCGCTTGTGTGATGTCCTTGTTAGGTAGAATCCACTACTGTACTAAGTCACCTATTCTATGTATTCGCAACATGTGCATCAAGAACTATAACTCGGCTGTCATATATATGCTCTTAAAACTGTTTGTTTGGGGGGGGGGGGACAGAATATATATATATATATATATATATATATATATATATATGGAGAGAGAGGGAGGGGGAGAGAAAGAGAACGAACGAACGAACTAACTTTATTTTCAAAGGGTTACAAAATGGGCATGCAGACCCGTCTGACATTAGGCCCTTCTAAGCACTCATTTTTCAGACCACTAATGCCTGTTATCTATAATGCATGTTATGGATATAATAAAGAAATATACATTATAGAATAATGCATACACACATCATGTGTACACATTCATACACGCTCACACACACACGTAGATATACTCTCACATTCTCATACATGCACTCTCATATACAGACATACCTAATACATAAACGCATCTACATACGTACACAAACAGAAAAGACACACACATACATATATGGACATATGTGCACACACACATTCTATACACACACACCTACACATGCATGCATGCATACACACACACACATGTACAGACACCCACAACCACATATTTACACTCACATGCAAACATACATACATACACACATATAGATGCATACATACACACATCAATACATACACCTACATAGGGGAGGGAGAGAAAGAGAGAGGGGGAGGGAGAGAGAAAGAGAGAGGGGAGGGAGGGAGAGAGAAAGAGAGAGGAGGAGGGAGAGAGAAAGAGAGAGGGGGAGAGAGACCTGACGTATGCCAGTAAAACTGGCACAAAGCGGGAGCACTACCCCCTGACCTCTGACCCTCTTGACATGTGTGTTGAACACATTGTCCTATCTAATCTACACAAGAGCAGCTCGGTGAACTCAGGCCAGTGAGAGGCTTAAATTATTAGGCTGATCATTTACTGCCTTGATTGCCACGACATTTGACATCATTCATCGCTGCCATCACGTCTACTGCCAGGCGCCAGGGATGATGTGCCAGCATAGCGCAGGACTGGGGACATAACGATGGGAGTAAGTCGCTGTTTTTATTTATTTTTCCGCTTGTTTCTACGCTTAATCACTACCTGGTCCAGACTTCATGTTACTTTGTAATTGTCAGGAGCCCTAATATAACCTTACGGTTGAAAGTTGTTTTCCAGGATTTTGTCAGGTAGAACTCTCATCCTTAAGATGTTAATCCTGCGGACTGTGGTTCTAATGGGGGGGGGGGGGGGGGATTGTAACTGCAAACTCGTTTGGTACTAAACGACTTATCTTGTTTTCTTGGTACCGTTCCACATAGAGGCGAAACAGGCCCGTTTTCACACCTAGATGTATCTCAAGTGTATTGCTCTGAATGCCCTTTTTTTTAAAGACAATAAGGGCACCAGTTGGGGAATGTGGTAAACATCACTGCAGACCAGACAAAAATGTTAGGGGGTGGGGGGGGGGGGAAACAGGTTCGGGGAGCAATACAAATAAAAATAATGTTTTATTATTATGTTCTTTAACTAGGATATACACATCGAGATTCCATCTCCATGTCTTGAAAATGCCCCCCCCCCCCAACCATGCTTTATTTATTTGGGCACCTCATTTGATTTGATTTGATTTGATTCAAGAACCGACATCACAGCACTCGGGGCATTCATATAAGCGCTCCGTCCCCATCTTCAGCAGCCAGCGAAGAGTTCCGATACTAATGGTGCCAGTAGCTTTCTGATTAAACGTCCGTCTTGCCTTTCCTCTGAGCCTCGAGCTTCTGCCAGAACCTCTCGTCACCCCCAACTACATCAATCTCATCAGACTATGGTGACCCATCTGCTCATCCGAACTGTACACGCTCTCCCACAAGGCATTAACCACATCTGCCCTATCATGTATCAGTATTCCACCAAGTTGTGCAGAGCCAGCCAGTCTGTCCGCCTGTTCATTTCCCAACACACCGGCGTGACCCGGTGAAAAAATCCAGACAATACTCATCACTCGTGTCCTCTGCAGCGAAGCATGCCACTCTGCACGAAGCATACCTGTTCTGATCTTTCTCAGCATGCTTTCTAAATCAGTTACAATCACGATGTGTGTGTGTGTCGTGTTCTCTAGCCAGCAGAAAGCTGTTGTGACCGCCTCCACCTCCATTCTTAAGCTGGATGTTGTGGTATCATATGCCAGGCTTTCCTGCACCAAACGTCGACCATTAACTTTTGCCAAGAAGCCCAAAGCACTTCTTTTGCCTCTTGACACTGAACCATCTGTGTAAATGATCAAATCCTCCGAGCGAGCATTATCTTGAAGTAATTGCTGAATTTCCACCTCTGTGGCACCTGCTGACCAGTCTCTGCATTCCCGGCTCAGCGTGATTATGACTCTACACAAGTCTGACTGCTCAGGTGGCACTTTGACCCACTCTTCTCCTCGCCTAATGTTCTCAAGGATGCAAACCTGTCTGATTGTGTCTTCTGCCTGAGCCATCCATGACCTCCCTCTTATCAGCCGCTGACCCTTAACTGCACCCAAAGCTTCATGCAGAGGGTGGTCTGTGTCTGCAGCTACCCTGAGATATGACTTCGCCTGCAGCATCTTGTGCCTACCTGCAACCGTCGGCAAACCAAGGATGTATCGCATACACACCACTGGGGTGTCTCTGGTACAACCCAGACTGCAGGTAACGTTTAGAATTCCCACAGCCCAGGTTTTAAAAATTGAAATATGCTCAGTAAATATGGGCTTACTCCGAGTGAGTTCCGTGAGTTTAGACCCACTGCGACTTAACAAGCATGCCGTAAAAGTCAACTATAGTTCGCTTCAGAATCGGGCCCAGCCTAAAAATGTGTAGCTCAATACCCGTTGGTGTCAGTTGTTGAAATCTGGCATGCAACTTTAAATAATCATCCCCTTGTAACCATTTTTTATGTAAACAAACATCTAATTTTAATTTTGATTTTTTTCGGTATATGATCCTGGTCGTCCGCATGTAGGATACAATTTTTCGTTATTTGAAGCCCCACCCTGGCTTCTGCCGGGGGCACTAAATATAGCCAGGCCATAAATATGGCCTAAACGGGGAACGGGGTTTCCGGGACCTCTCCACGGGTGATCCTCATCCGCATGGTGACACTTTGTGTCACCAGGTGTTTTTTGCTTGTGTGATGTCCTGGTGGGGTACAATTTACTTACTTACTACTTTCGGTAAAGGACAACACCCCCTCCTCGCCCTTTTTTTTTAACCAACCACCACCACCAACACCTCACCGCCTACGGCTTCAGTTTCTGCCTAATCCATTTATTTAGTCAGACCAAGTTTACGCCATATTTATCCCTGTGGTCCCCACACAGCTTCAGTCGGCCGGTCTCGTTCTGAAGTTGTTTGTGAGCAAAGAAAAACAACACCACGTTTGATGATGTTGTTTGTGGACTGTGTCTTCTCAGCACGCTTTGTTGTTTCCGTGTTGTGAGTGTCTGTGTGTGTATGTGTTTGTGTGTGTGTGTATGTGTGTATGTGTGTATGTGTGTGGGTGTGTGAGTG